TCAAAAGATTTGCACACCCTTGTTGCCCATGCTCACTTCCTCCCGGGTTTATTCCTGATACTGAATCAAGAAGAATGGAAGCATCACAGCCCTACAGAGCACAAGAAATTAAAGGCAGTGCAATTGAGATTTGAGAGATGGAGTAAGAAAACAAACAAGAACAAGATTGATGGTGGCAAAAGGCAAAAAGCAAAAAGCATACCCTGACAAAGCAATCGTGGAAATGCAAGCGAATGAGAGCAGCAGCCATGCCAGGATTGGCAGCAACAGCTTTGCTAACTGTGTTCCTCACAATTGTCTCTTCCGATTGGGCAAGTAATCTTGTAGAAACCTACCTTGAGGGAGGCTGAAGATGACACAGTGGGAGCCATAAAACTGGCAAGAAACATTATTGCCATAAGAGTGAACACTGTGGGCATCTCCACTACTCTACTGACCCAAGAGCAATTCATTATCTTAATTCTTAATTAGCTTGTTGTGGCTGTATACGAGAGATTGAAGATCAAAGGATGAGAGTGTGGAGGACACACGCCTGGGCTGGTGTATTTATAGTGAGAAGTGAGTCATCAAAATGTATACAGAGCCAAGTGAAGGATGGTGGGATGAACCTTCTTCTCAGCCAATGGCATCTTGGCCGAGAAGTGCAACTTGCAGTAAACAATTACAAGGCGTGTGCCCTCCACGCGCTTCTATGTTTTTATATTATTATTTGTTGGAAAAAGTGAGGGAATGAATGATTCATTCACTCAACAGCATTCCATGGGCACCGACTTCACCAACTTCTTCCATATGCCTACTGTCTGTATGCCCATCATCACGTCTATTAATATTGAAGGTTGAGCCCCCATTCATTGTTTATTGTTTATGGATATGGGGGTGGGGCCGTTGGAGACCAAAGCGAGCTGATAATGATCTCTCTCTCTCCAAAATTCAAAGTTGACGGCTTTAAAGTTTCTTGTTTCATATTATTTTTTTTTGGGGTTTTTATTGTTACAGTTGGATCAAATTTACCCTTACCACAGTTCATAGAGGTCAGCCCACCTCAGGAACTTTTATTTCCCAACACCTTCACCCATGATTCACTGCCCCTTGAATTTTGATTCATTCCTCTTCTGACCTCTAGAAACTGTGATAGGGGCAACTGCAAAGAATTTGATCCAGTGGGTGGCCCAAATTTTATACGTTTGTTATAATTGGATCAAATATGAAACACATTCTTGATTATATTTAAATTTATCATAGGTTAAAGTTTCATATAAATTATTTTCAATTCATATTATTCATGATATACATCAAAGTTATTTAATTCATTAATTAATAAAATATAACCTTTTGAACATTTTAGTCTGTTTTTCTGAGGTGTGAACATTAAGGTGTTTCCAATGCACAGCTGCAAAATGTGCTGCAGGGTTAGTGTGGGGAGCCAATCCAGATTCATATGCTTCAGCTTAGTGTTTGCAAAATTGGACCAGACCGGATGATCAGACCAAAAAACTGGGAACTAGTTTCGTTTTACACCAAAACTGTTTTTGGTCAAAAACCATTGATTTGGTCAGCAAACTGTTGATCTTGGCAGTTGAACCATTGAATTGTTGACTTGGATAATGATTTTTGGCTGTTTTTTATTTTTTGTCAGAGTGGGTCATCCATTTAGACCGGACAGTTGGACCATTTAACCCAGGAACCAGACCCCAGAATGATTCCCTATCCGGTCTGGTTTTAAAAACCTTGCTTCAGCCTCTTTGAATAGCTTATCTGAAGCCCTTCGAAGGCAAAGAAGTTGAATGAGCTTTGAAGAAAACACAAAAAGTTTTGGTGCATATTGTATGATGAGTCTGGATCTGGTCCTCACACCAACCTCATAGCACATCTCAGCCATGAATCAAGAACATCTTTTATACTTGTGTATTATTAATTTGTTATTTATCGGGAGATGTTCCCAATAGACAGTAAAATGTGCTGTGAGGTTGGTGTAAGAAGTGTTCTGTAGAGAGCAAATCCCAATTCTTGTATAATACATAGTTTTTTTTAGAGAATAGTACATATTGACTTTTGAACCCACCGACGCACTAATTAGTAAGAAATAGTGATAGCTCTTGAGTTTTAATAGTTGTAATAGTAGCAACTGGTAATGGGTGTTCACTGAAACTGACGGAAAACTTACATATGAAGTGCTCAAAATGGACCACATAAACGGACATTAAAAGAGTGGTTCGGAATGCCCAAGGCAAAGGGATCACCACCAACTCAACTTAAAGGGAAAATCTGCACCCAATACAGCGTGCCCCATGGGCGCCCCATATGTACATCTCAACATGCATGAGAAACATCTCTCGAAATTATCATTAGAAAATGTTCCCAATAAATGGTTGGGATGTGCTGTAGGGTTTAAGTTAACACGGCCCAAATTGCAGCCCTACTGTCCATGGGATGTCCATATGGGGTATGCCTCACAAATTTTAATTTTTCCAGGATCTCTCTCTTAACTGAGTAGCATAAATAAGTAGAGTAAGAAACCTACTTTTTTTTTTTTTTCTAGTGAGAAACATTTATACTTGGAGATGTTTTCTCACCTATATTTTCAATAGAGTAAGAATTCTAGCGCATTCTTATTGTAAAAAAAAAAACTTGAAGATTTTTTCTTACCTATATTTTCTATAGATTCTATCTATTTGATGAATTGCAACCTAGGCTCCATTTGGAAGGAGTATAAATACATATGTATTTAAACAATATATATTTGTATTTGTACTTTTTTCAAATTAGGCTCAGTTTAGAAGGAATACAATGCAAATATGTAGAGTGCAAAACCTTGTATTTTGTATGTATTTACACTATATATATTTATATTTATACTCTTTCCAAACTGAGCCTTGAGGCATATCACATAGGTTCTATTTTCAATAGTTTTTCTTTTTATTTTTTATTTTTATAATTTTTCTGTAAACTTCTGTTTCCAATAGAAATTAATCCTCTATACCACCATTTCATTGCTCTTATGGGTGCATTGTGTTGGAGAAGTTATCCTTATATTGATTTCTTTTCTGTTTTAGAGTGAGTAGGGGCTGTTAGGCACAGACAACTTCCTTCCCCAGTTGGTTACTGCCCAGCTGAGCCACTCTATAGGTTGCAACCAGTATTCAAGAATGACTGTAGAACGAATTAATTGTAGCCCAATAGACACGGCTTCTGCCCATAGAGTCATTTTCAGGGGACTGAGAGAACTCTGAATTTGAAGCCGCCAACTTTGAAGACTGAGAAGTGAGAACCCATTTTCAGGGGACCCAGAAACATAAACCTTGCTTTGCTTCTTCGGGCACACTAATTTCTTCCAATTAAAACCTTAAAACAGAGAATGAAGCTATGAATAAAGGGGGCCCAAGTCCTTCCAACGTTAGTACAAGTACTGGGAAAGCAGACAATATAAAATTGTATACGTTGTTGAGCTGGAAGAACTGCTCAAGTCTGTGTACATGGAATGTGTTGAGTGTGAGTCATCGATTCCCTCACTTTTCTTAAGTAATAATAATATGAAAATGGAACCACGTGAACACGCCTTTTAATGGT